GTCCGAAATAACGTTTGTTCGAATTTTAATTATACCGAAAACCGAATTATAACGAAACAGTTGTTCTTTCAGGATATGTTGAATGTTTATCTCAGTTACGATTAGGTTCGGTTAGGTTAAGTTAGGTTTTCTAAAAAAAACATTTTCCTCTCAAAATTACTTTCGAGGTTATGAAATTTCGACCAAACGTATTTTTAGAAAGTGTCATTTCGGACTACTGATAACTACTACTATTCTACACATCACGACCTTGCATTGTGTTGAAAACGCGAGTCGAAATTATATTAAACTACATAATTATCGTAATTTATTGTACATTCCTAGTCATATAGAGTCTGTTCAACTGATATAAACGATATTGATAAGAACCAGTTGAAACGTGACACCTCGAAAATCATAAACACAAAATTTATTTAAGGATACTGATGGTAAATCTTGATAGTGGACCGTAAATACCAGTTATCAAGGTTATAAGAAAAAAATATTCAGTAAATAGAAAGAAAATTATTTCTCTATAGCAAAATAATAAGGAAAAGCAAAGGTCAATTGTGCTAGAAAAACAATATTTGCTATTTATTATCTTACATCTGTTCAATAAACGTACCTTTTTTGGCAGTTGACCTTTGTGTTGTAGTCTTCATTCGATATTTTGCTGAATGAAACTTCCGTTAAATTTTTTAGGACGACCTTTAAAAATATTTCGAGCAAAAACAAAATTCAATTCAAATTCGTTTTCCTCTCTATCTGTGGCAGTGAATACTTTATAATTGTCAAGTGTTTTGCGATCCTAATAATATGATTCATAAAATATATTACACCTATGTAAATTCTGTTATGTTTGTAATAAAATAACAAAAAAAGCTGAAAGGATCAGTGCTCTTGGATTGCCTGCAGACGTTATTATTTCTTATATTTCCCCAACGTAGCAAAGTACGTACAAAGTACCAATCTATCTTGATAATCTTACTTATTGCTGCCACCACGCAGTAATGTGAGCATTACTGCGTTCCAGTTTGGGTAAGAGTGCTGGTGAAATTATAGGCACACGGGACTTGTAAACTTATGTCTCAAGGTGACGGGCGCAGAGACAGTGCCCCTCAAATCTTTGAGATTTAAAGCTTTGAGTGGCACTGGAACAAATATGGATACGCGTGTCGCTTACCATCAGGCGCACGACTTGTTCCTTCCTTCATTTGGAATTATAAAAACCTCAAATATAAAATTTGTAAATTTGTTACGGTAAAAAAAATTATAGTCCAATCCACCTTTTTTTAGGCTACCTGAACCAAAACGCGGACAGTCCACAAGTGACCTCATCGTATACAAAGTATTTTATTAGGGACTGCCTTGTCCGGTAGACCGCAATAAACACCACTTATCCCCCATCAAACCTTCGGCCGTATTTTTTTTATGCATTTTTCTTTGTTTAAGCCCAGCGTTATTTTTCGTAGGCAGCCACGTATTTTACGAGACCCCGTGTCACCTGGGTTAACTTGAATTATTCATAAAGCCACACAGGATTTGTCTGATACAAACTATTATAGTGTCGTATACAATAGAGATTTTGTTAAATTTTTTATACGGGTTTGCAGTAACAATTTCATTCTCAGATAATATAATACTATGCTAGTACAGATGGGTATCTCATATAAACAAAATTAACTCTGCATATTCGGACGCTTACTTTGATCGTTAACGCTGATCAATAGATGGGGAACCTGCGATGCGATTGTAATAATATTTGAAAAGGCCAACAGATGGCAGCTATTACATGACTGTCAAAGTTATTGTTCTTCTTCAGGCGGTGATTATATTATAGAATAACATATAATAAAATCGGAAAGAAGCGAAGTCAGTTACTTCTTTTAAATAAAAGTTAGTGCTAAAACGTTACTTAGTTTCGAGAATAAATTGAAATAAGCGCCATCTATACAATTGATTGCAACCAATTTTCGTAATTGTAAATAAATTTTAATTTCAACATTCCTAAAATGTTGTTTTAATAGTTTTGCATTTCTTTTTTATATTTTATACTTCTTATTAAGTATGTCACCTCAAATTGTTGAGATTTAATACTTCTTATTTTTTATTATATCTAAGTGTCGCCATCTATAGTTTTAAATATGTACTAAACTTAATTTGCATGTATTGATGGGTATCAATACATGCAAATTGAGTTTAGTTTTGTAATTGAAAGCATGGGGTCATGCTTTCAATATTCATTTTGCCCAAAAATATTATCAATTCTGTTCTTCACACTATCATTTTCAAGAAAATTACGTATGTTTTTATTTTTGGTATTTTGAAGAATATATAGAAAAACGCCAATCATCATCATCCACAGCCCAACTTCACCCACTACTGGGCACTAGGTCTCACATGGTTTGTGCCATCCACTACGATCATAAACTAGTTTCACGGATCAACTGGCCACTACTTTGACAATATCGTGTGCCCTTCCCACGTTTCTGCAGCGACCTCTTAGCCAACATTCGGCAGTTACCTTACCCCATCTGTCATCACCTTGCCTCACAATATGCCCTACCCAATTCCATTTCAGCTTTGTTATCCGACCTCCTACGTTCTAGACCTTAGTTCGTCTACGGATTTCGAAATCCAAAATTCTCTCTGTGCGATACTCATTCTGTACACACCCTTCCGTATATACATTGGTTAAAACTTGAAAAGTTGTAAAAATGATTCATATCAAATTGAGGAACAATTTGATATGAATCAAACAACTACAGTAATCACTAATACCGCCAGGTAAACCGTCTTGTTCGTCGCTTCCTATTTCCACGGTCTCAGTTTAAAGCACAAATAACAAAATCTCTCTCAGTTGAGTTGAAATTCGATTAGAGCCCGAAACGTAGCCAAAACATTCATCAAATAAGATGTCCGCCTTTCCTGTTTCCCTTTCCTTTCCGTTTCGGCTTATTTGTGTATTTATGTTTCTTTTTAAGTCACCCTAGTATTGGACGGCAGTAATGTGATTCGAATTCATATAATTTGATTAAATGTAGATTAAATATGAATTCGGATTTCAATTCAATATTTGACCCATTTCAGTAATCGAATACAAATAACGAACATAATATTGTTATTAGCCACTTCCTTTATTTCTTTATGGCTGCTCACTTTGATTTGGCTCGTGAATAGAATGATGATGTTTTGATTATTTCTTCTGTAACCAAAGCTTTCATTCAGATAAACTAAATTACTATGGGCATATGAAATTAAAAATCACAATATAAAATACAGCTCTCCAAAAGTTTCTATCTATAAGTCAACTAATCGTAGAGATCAATTTCAACCAAACACAATTATTTTGCTAAGAGTAGTTGAGGAGTTGGATTGTCTGCAGATTATCTGAGTTGCAGCACCTGATCAAGGTTACCATGTTATTGTAATATCATATACCTATAGTTTATCAAATTTCAAGTCGGTCAAGTGGAGGCAAAATAAACATTCATTTTGTGACTGAGATCCCTACACTGAGTGGAAAACGAGCTGATGATCTTTAAACAGCTGAACAAATGTTCATCAAACAAAAAAATAAGAACAAACAAAAACTATTTTAAAATCAATCCACTTATTTGGGAGCGAGAGATGATGCTACGGACATACAGACAGATACACAGATACGCAGATGTTGATTTCAAACTTATAATAGTATTTTTGAGAGGCTAATTGAAACAAAATAAACTGCAGTGGAAAACAAATTACATATCAAAATATTTCTTTAAACTTAGGCTGCACTCCTCCCATCATCTTTTTGCGTATACGTCACACTCTCGAGCTGACACCACGAGTACATTCCGATGCCTGCACAAGCCGTGAATAGAAGTGTGCCACAGACCGTGAACGGGGGACTGCAAAGAGGTCATGCCTGCGAGCGTAAAGGAAATTGCTGGACATTGCTAAACACGTAATGCGGGCCACCAATTCTGGCACGTCGAATAGTCTCGAAGGTTGCACATGCAAAGCGCAAGGAATCGAAGTTCCAACGAATTGTATTTTTTTTAGACATAGGCAGAAGTAACGGTAGTAGTAAGCGGTTTCGAATAGATTCCACATGACTTACGATAAAAAAGTAAAATTAAATCGTTTTTATTTGTGTAACCTGAAAACGTGTCAAGTCTCCAACCCGTATGAGGACAACGTGGTGAACTTAGGCCTTAACTTTCTCCTTAGAACAGTGATTTATACTTCAGAAACTTTTGTGGGCGTGGGCATAACAACTCATGAAAGTTTTATCGCAATCGGGTGTATAATAACGGAATGCATACGGGATAAACATGCAAACATACATTCATTCTTAACCACAGACGCAAAAAGAGGGGAGTTGTAAGTTCGATGTCTGAGTATATGTATGTCTGTGGTATTGTAGCTCCTAAACGGGTGGACTTATCTCAAAGTGGTTTTTTTTTATTTGAGCATTAATTTAATCGGGATTGATCTAAGCTATGATGACCATATGTTCGGCTGTTTAAAGGTCATCTGCTCTTTTCTCAGATAATGTAGGGTCTCAATCATAAAATTGATATTTATTTATATATTTCACTTCCACTTATCTGATTGATTTGAAATATAGTATACTATGTCAAACAAAAACATTACAACAATATGGTAACCCTGATGAGATGTTATAATCAGGACAATGTACAGACTACCCAACTGAAATATCTGCAGTAGAACTATCGTGTTTGAGTTTATGAAGCTTATTGATGGTGACTCTGTTGAATTTTTAGAGTACAATGTTTTGCATACACATTACATACATATACACATTACATATATACTTAGTACATTGTTTCAGTATCCAATAATAGTCAAGAAAAGTTCATATTAAGTAGTCAGACCATTTACTTTTTCTTTTAGACCTATACGATATAAAATACGATAATTTGCGACTTCAAAGTGTTTGATACTTACTATAGTTATTATATTGATGACTGTTATAAGAAGATTGTAAGACTAATTATATGTGTTCTTTTCAGGGTGGTTGGATAGTGAAGCTGGATGTTGACACGGTGAATGGTGGTATGAAGTTGGACGAAAACTTTTTGGTGGATTTCGGAAAAGAACCTAATGGCCCTGTACTTCCACATGAAATGAGGTAACTTATTATTAACAGATGTAATTGACTCTTAACAAGGTGTTACGTAGTGGGGGTGTCGGGTACTTGGTACATATGTGGTATTTTGATGTAAGGTAGATGCTCTGTTGGGGTGTTGAATGTAAGGTAGTTAGGATATTAGGCTGCCAACCTTTTTGTTTGGTGTCCCAAAGGGAATAGGATTTCATAAGAAATTTAATATGTATTAAGATTCCAACATTTCTGTTATAATGTCTCGTTCAGATAACAGAGTATAAGGTATTTTTGTACGAAAAAGATTTTTTTTAATTTTAGTAATTTTTTTAACTGGGACGGTATCAGGAACGCCAAAAGCATAGCAGATGAAAATAAACTGGTATAGGTCTCATAAGGTGATTATTTATGTATAGAAATAATTTTGATGTAGTTAGCGAGAGTTTTTCACAAACACGAATAAGTTTTTTTAAAAACATAGTTTCAGATTAGTATAATTTTATTGTACTGAAGGAAAAAATCTTGAAAGAAAGCAAAAAGTATTATTAAATATAATTGACACCTAATACATTATATGTTAAGAATTTCATGTTCTATTATTATGTTCAAGTTTCAGAATTACCTCCATTTTGTTGAATTTAAATGTGTATTACGTATTATTATATCGCTTTAGTTTTTGTTCATAGAGATCATGAGTGCACACTTCTCTCAATAGAAGAGTTTATTTTAATTTCATGTACCTAATACTGTTTTACGCTAGTTAATTAGCTAGTTTTTTCAGCTTATAACAACTTTATCTAGAGGGAAATTTTGGGAATTTGCTGATGGGGTATTCCTAATGACCGATGGGATTCGTCGTAGTCATTGCTTTCTCACTTATTTCACAACAGCTTCATGTTAATTGAACGTAGAAACAACAAATATCACGAGATAAATTTCTCAACTAACAAAGCAGTATTTTTGGACGAAACAAGCTGCATGTGTATAAAATAGCACTGCAACAATAAAATTAGGCAATATAAAAAGTATTTAGAAAACTTTATCAAACAATCATTATCCTTTGGCGCATGTAATATATATATATATATAATTGAAACAAAATTTCAAACAATAAAAACAGAAAAGAAGAAACACACTACTAAATTCTATATTAATCATGCAATAATGTTCTTTGTGTACTTCGAGTAGAATTTACATTACAGTACCTAACAATTAAATGGTCGTATCTATCGTTTCAACGTTATAATGAAATTTCATCAGATTTTTTTTCCTACTATACAATTAACATAAAAGTGAATTGATTTATTTACATTGAAAAAATACCATTATTTTTTACTATAAAAATGTACTAAATATTTTTAACGCAGAGTTCCCCATACTGACCCAGTTAAAAAAACATGTTTGTATTCTCATTCTGATACCAATCAACGTATATTTTACTTACAATATTTCTGTTAAACAGTAAATTAACTATTCTATACCAACAGTTATAGCACGAGTACACAGGACATGTATTGCTCATAAACGAGCTCGATTCTCTTTTCAAGTCCAATACTTTACATGGCTTCTATTATAGTATAATAATTGTGGCCTTTTTAGATAAGCAGGTTTTTACGACATATTTCTTCAACGTTAAAGCAAATGAAAAATTGAGGCTATCAGCGCTATATTGCGCACCCACATTGTTTTATTTTTTTTCTACAATATTACTTTAAAAGATACAAAAGCACAAAATTATATTATATTTGGAATCTATTTTCATGTATTACAAATATTTAATTATAATTTTTAATTCATGAAAATAGCATGACAATATATAAAATAATTATATATATTAGTATTATTTAAAGTAATATTGTAGAAAAGAAAATTCATGTGAGTTGCACCACTATTGCGCTTATAGTTTAAATTATGGATTGCGTACGTTAAGTTTTGTTTTTATGTTTAGATATCCTGGTGGTGACTGTACATCAGATATTTGGCTGGCTGAAGACTAAAGACCGTAATACTTCTAAACATGTGCCAACATTATTTGTATATTACGACTTTATATTATTAATCATAATAAATTGTACATCGTCTTTATAATTTACCTTGGCCGCAATTGTGTAAATAAAAACTGTAAAGAGACAAAAAATAACATGAATGTATGCTCAGTGTTAAATGATGAAAAAACAGAGGGTGTGGTTATTATTGTGAAAATATCGTGACATATGTATATTAAGAACCTATAATTTGGCGCAAACTGTTATTAAGTACGAGGTAGTTGTGATATAATTTTCTACAAAATATAGGAACACAGAATATATCAAATGGTATCATAATAAAAGCATTGTTTTATTTTTAAATCGACACAATATCATTATTATCAATGTAAACTAATAATTTCAATGTCAACTGGATATATTCACGTATCTATTGTCACTTAACAGGGTGTATAACATCATTATCATTCACAACCCAATTTTACTCACTGCTGGGTAGCTATAAGGTCTTCATTGTACCATTCACCGCGATTTTGCCTTAGTCTCATCCAAGTATTTTGCCTTAGTCTCATCCAAGTAAGGCCTTAAATAAATAAAAAATATAAAAATATGCAACTTTTTAAACCTTAGTCAAGTAAAGGTAAATTATTTATCATCAAATTTTTTTTAAGTAATCGATTAACTATGTTGCTACATAATTAATTACATACAAAACAACACATGAAGTACCTTTTTAAAAAAAAAATGGTGATGGAAATGGCATCTACTGACCTCTATTACCAAGGAAGTGCTGCAATATTTTATAGATAACGCATTGAAACTCGCGTTTGTTTAAATGTTAAACTTTTGCCATGCTTTGCGGCGTCATGCCGTAAAGATTTCGCCGCTCCCCTCCCGGCCTCGTCTTGCCAATTGCAAGTCAAGAAGAATGCTGTAGCGGCAACGCTGAGCCGGACCACACGACTTGAAACGAAATCTTTGCGGCGCCCGCACCGCAAAGATTTCGCCGCGTTGGCGAACACACGGGGGCGTCGCAACGTTGTTACAACGTCACAGCAGCGGGAGACGACGGAAGAGTGTTGTACGAACAGTGGTGAACAGTCTGTTAATAAAAATGGATTGGAAGAGACGTTTTTATGCCATATAATTTCTCTTTCTTGAATTAAACTAATTAAGTAGAAGTACATGTCAATATTTTCTTCACTCATTTTTTTCTCCGATGAAAAAGAAACAAAATATAAGTAAAAATAAATTGAAACAAGCAAGCGTATGAGCATCGTTTGACCGCAAAAACAACTGGTTGCAAGTCTAGTGTGCGAGCGGCGTCGTATCGCAGCGCACCGTGTGGCATTCCATGGATATTTATATGCAGGATCCAGCAGCGGTACCGCTCAGGCGCCGCGCCGTCGCCACAACGCATCGTGTGGCATCGGTCTCAGGGCTCTTACACATAAACACGATACGACTTCAACGTCGTGCTACAACGCGGCATCGTTTCACGACACGACATCGCAACATGCAACGACACACGGCACGTCTTCGTATCGTAGAAACTCACGGTGCGCTCCCCCGTGCCGCATTCATTTGTTATTCAATATTCAAAGTCGCGTCGTAGGACGACGCGACGTCCTATCGTGTTTATGTGTAAGAGCCCTCAGGTGCATCGCCGCCACCGCAACGCATCGTATGGAGCGGCTCATAATGATAATATTGCGAGAGTGGATGAAGAGGCCACTGCTACTTGGCCGAAACATCGGGTTAATGGGTAAGTGTGCAAATACATATTAAATTGTATAATCGCATTTATGCCTTTTTTCAAATATTAATATACACAATAATATGTAATATATAAATTATAATTTATATTTATTATTAATTATACTATGCAGTGAATGGTGCTGCTTCTATTATCGTGACAAATTAATTTATTATTCAAACGAATGGGTTGCTTTACCATTGAATTTGCCCGACGACGATTTATTAAATTACAACAAGTTGAAAACACAAAGGCAAATACAATGGTCAAACTAACTTTGACGTCTAATTATTTTACGTAGCTCGTTAGTTATGTTTACTAACCATAATTATGAGTTCACGTTCACGCTACGAATTTAAATATACAGATACCTACGTTAAGTGTGTGTTTGAAGTAAAAACAATTGTTTAGGAGTGAAAAATTTCTATTTCAATCTTAAAATTCTAATTTGTCGTAGATTGGATTGTTGTTAAAGGTCCTTGTAGAAGAAAACTATATATGAATTAAACTACATAGGACACTTATCCACTTACATAGGACAAGTTACATCTGCAATAGACAACAACATCACAAATGTTTCTCTGATCCCAAAGTAAGTAGCTAAACACTTGTGTTATGGAAATCGGAAACCCGGGACCACAGAGATGGCGACACCATGAAAACCGGTGTGCAAGCCTCTCGACGACGGAGGTCTCGACGACCATGGGTGTATGTAAAATATTAATAAAATTCGCAGGCCTATATTAGTATAATTATAGACAACAACTTTAGTTCCAAGACTTTTAATAATACATCAAGATTTTACATTCATACTGATATAAACGTATTTAAATAGATCTCTCTAAACAAAACAAAGTGAGGTCGTCGGGGAGGACGATTGCACGTTTGAACTTTGGTACTGCCAATAAAGTTTCTTTTTGGTGAATTTATTATATTTTGTACAAATCATACAATAAAAATAGTTCTGATGTTTATAATATAGTCTTGGGAGGTTGTTAGTATTTTACAAGTAATCATGTATATTATTTCATAAAGCGGTGACCATGAGAAATGTAAAAAGTCCGAAACGTTACTTTGCTTGAAAAAATAAAACGCGATTTTAGATTATTTATAGAAAAGTAAAATTCATTCTCAATGTGTAACAATCGCGAAAACCTAGGCATTCGCCATAATTATAAATGATGTCTTCATAGAGGTTTTTATATAGAACTGGACACGTCTATTTCATGCACTCACAGAGATGGGTACACACAGCCACTTGGTGGGTGCCGAAGAACGGCCAGTGCGTGACGTCTACATGGCGGGATAATGAAACAGAGAAGTCGAGAAGAAAGGCCTTTAAGTAAGAGTAGGCTAATTAAAAAATAAAGGTTTTATAAATCAGGATGACTTTAGAAATGAAACCTTGCTCATCACTTAGGATTATGAAATAATTTTAATTTTTCACACACTTTTTAAATGTTATTGCTTAGAGATTGCCTAATGAACGTTCATAAACATCACCTCCACGCCATCGATCATTCATAACATAATAAATTGCCCAACATTCAATACGTAGAAACGCCAATAATTCTTGAGAACCAAAACAATCTTTGCAATAGAAAAGTTCTCATACCCGTGGCTTTTTCACTGTAAGAAAGATCGCAAAAAGAAGTTGGCATAAAAGGTTTCGAACTGCGCTCCAGAGGCCTGAGATAAAGCCTGTTATTTATTTTATAGAGGCAATAAACGAGATGTGAGCTATCGAAGTTTACATTATTGTTTGAAATTGTGGTGGCAAATTTATATTTCACATGTATTTACGTTTAAAAGAAATGTATTTCAGAAAAGTGGATTAAAATAGGTTCTCCGTCTGCGTACATGGATACATAAATTTACATTAAACATTCAGATAAGATGTGTAAGCCAGGAGATGCCGGCAGTGAAATCATTTGTAAAACCTGCTCTGTTTTTGAGGAAGAAATATTAAAACCAACTTCTTCGATAAAATAACATACATAAGTAACATCGTCATCAGTGTCAACATATTTTACGTCCTCTGTGCTAGTCCGGTGCGGGTTTGGGAACTTCACACGTTTTCTAAGGATTGGGAACCTTCTTTGACGTGCAGGTTCCATCGCGATGTTTTCCTACTAAACATTTACAAATATAAGTAACACGGATTACAACTTTCGACCGCTCTATTGATAAGAAACCATTCCTCCATTGAGCGACCACCGCATTATATAGAAAATTTTACATTAGAATAATTTTACAATAATAAATTTATTAAGAATCCAAGTGAACAAGAAGAATGATAAGAGTGAAGGAAATGAATGAGTGAGTGAGGGAACAGATTTTGTGTACGTTGGCGGGCAACGTGTTTTTTTTAGTTTATTTGGGTCAACAAACAGTAAACACAATTAAAAGTAATAACTATCTTTTTTACAGTAAATATGTAATTATTGTGCCACCAACACCGTTAACCATTAATTACTACCACAAAACTGAGCAGTGATAATTAAGTAAGATATAATTACACATTTTTCTTTGCTTTTTTATACAAGTTATGCCTTTTTGAGACTTCTTACGAAGAATAAACATAAGTTATCCTAGCGACCGAATTCTTGTACATTGCGAAAGTCTCACTTATGTACTCTCTTAAATTATCTAAATTTAAACATGTTGTTATTTTTAGATTTTATTATATATTTATTACATTTTCGCTGTATTTTCCAACTTTAAATGATATATCAATGCCGTATGTTCCACTAGATTCATTGTCCAACTCCACGCAACGAATCCATTAAAGCACGTGTACCTACCTTCATCATTACAAAGCTACCAAGGAAGTCTTTCATACTTTTGAAATGAACACCGATCTTTTTTGTCAATTATCCCTCTTAATTCTACTTTCCTCGGCTTTAAAAGACCATTAGAAAAGGTTTATGTCCGTTAATAGGCCGGAATCTAATCTTACTACAACAATCGATGGAAATGAAGCAAAATAGAGATTGCTTTTACGATAATGAAAGAGGCTTAAAAGGGTCCAGAAAACGTCCAAGGAGCATTAGACGGTAATCGTTACCATTGCGTATCTTAGCTGCAAGAAAAATGTAAATATTAATTTTGTATCGCTTCGAAGCACTTTAGAAATTGAATTCTATTCTTTTTTTTACAAACTAGGGGGAATATTCTCGCGTCATGCGGTCGTAAGATTTCTGTAGATATTTTTGATGTTTCTATAGCAAATATTTATTAGGCAGCTGCAGTAGACATTTTTGTAAAAGAGTTCGTCCAGGGAAATATTGCCACTATTTCTGCCGTCAAGTATATTGGTCATGGTCCTGCCATCATCATATGTAGAACCTGTAGCTGCCCGAAACGATGGTTTCTTTGAAAAAACAAATAGTTAAATTTTCTATGTTCTGATTTTGTTATTACGCTGATTTCATGTTATCTTAATATTTTTTAAATGTACATAAACAGTAGTACTTAAGCGTATTATGTTTGACGTCAGTGCAGGAAGCAGAA